TTGGTTCAAGACCTGATGAGTTAGCTGATGTTTATCAAATGATGGCCAAGTGTAAAAGTGAAGTTAGTTATATTATTTGATTTAACTACAACTACACTAAAAATTTTCTTGATTACCATTATTAAAATTTTATATATATTTGTTTGTAGGTTGTAAAGAATCACAACTTTGTTACCATGTCTCAATTAGATGAAGATATAGAAGTTGTAGACATTTGTCGTAAAAGTCAGTTGTTCAGACAAAAACTTCAGCAGACAGATAAGCACAAGGTAAAAGATTGATTAAATAAATAAGATTAATAAAAAGTAATACTGCATAATATTATTATTAGTTAGTAGTAATTCACATGGTGCTGGTGGCGGTCGTAGTTTGGGAAGTAGAATCGTAATGTTGTGGCAAAATGATCAAAAGTTATTTATTAACGATAGTATTAGTTTAAATATTATTTCTTATCGGTTTTTAAAACAAAAACAAACTAGCACTTAACAAACTAACTCTTAAATCTGACATCAATTTGTTCTAGATAAAGAAGTTTTGGTTTTTAAGAATTTTTTTTAGAAGTAATAGTTCATAGTTTGATTCATGATTTATTTCAAAAGGTTCATAATATTAATAAAAATAATAATATTAGGGATAATTGTTTTTGCATATTTGACTGAAAGGTCAGGGTCATGGCCAGGGCAAAAAGAAGACAATAGTAGTTTTATCACTAAGTCCCATCAACATTTTTTCACCGTGTTTATATTTCTTATATTTATAGTTTTATCATTTATATATTTTTAAATTATTGTTACTATTTATGTTATAATTATTTTTATTATTATTATTGCTGTTATTTTTATCATAATTATTCTTATTAATAATATTTTATTATATTTATAATAGTTAGAACAGTTATTATTACTAGCATTAATATATTTTTCAATTGAGTGTTTATTTAAAGTTAGCACATGGACAATTTGTAAATATCTATGAATTGTAGCAACTATATGAGAAATTTTTATTGATCATTTGATTTTGAAAATTTGAAGCTATATAATATAATTATTACATTATATTTATATATGCTCATTTTTTTTTAGTTTAAAATGGCGTTAAATAATATTTTAATGTGTCATCATTTGAGTATAATTGCTGACTTGAAAAACGATAACAGTTACAGAGTGGAAGCTTTTAAAGTCATTGATGAAGCTATTGAAGTTTTTACAGAGGTTTTAATTTAGTTTGATTGTTTTTAACTTATACCACAGTTTTTATAACATTAAAATTTTCAATTTTTATGAAATGAAATCTTAGATCAACGATATAGGTCATCTTGCGGAAGCAATAATGACTAAATCTTTTGTCAACCCACGACAATCAAACTTTTTTGAAGAAAAAAAAGAGGTTAGATTTTTAGTTAAAATGCTTTAAAAGTTAAAAAAAAAAGGTGTTTTATGTGTATGTATACACAGCTCTTTTTTAGCTGTTTTTAGTAGGGATGGCACTTTTACTTACTTTTTTTTTACTTACACAAGTAAATTTTTTTGAAAAAGTTTATTATGTAAGTAATTGTCACCGTTCAAATTGAATTTACATTTACAAAAAAGTAATTAATTTTTACGAAACTACTTTTACTTTATGTAAAAACAGATTACATTAAAAAGTAATTTACTTTTACAAGTAAAAGTAAGTCTCATAAAAATGCAATTTACTTTTACATATAAATATTAATTACTTTTTCAAATTACATTACATAATATAATAGTTCCTCAAAATGTAATTTACATTTACATATAAAAATCATTTATAAAAAATATAGTAGAAAATATATATAGTAGAAAACGTCAATAGGACCACAGAGTCTTTAATAATATTGCTGGATTAAGGTGTCGCTAGAGTGATTATAGCCCTGGGTGCCACACTTTTAGGAGACCCAAAAGTTTTAAATGGAATGTTTTTTTTTTTAATTCAGTTTTAAGCTGTGGTACATAAAACAATCCACTTGCTTAAATAGCCCTGGATAAGTCTCAGTCAGCCAATAAGGTTGTGGGCCAACAAGTTTATTATACACTTGCAAAAAATGCAGAATAATTGTTATTTATGAATTTTTTTATGGCTAAAAGAATGCGTCATGACGACACCAAACCTGAGGTATAGTGCAGTTGTGGGTTTTGATTATATTAGTAAATCAAAAATATACTAAAATATTAGTCACCTGCTTCTCAAATGTGAGGGCAACAAAATCAATTTCCATTTTCATAATCGTGAAAGTTTTGTGACAAGTTTTATAACGCTGATCATTTAGATATAATTTATGATTATGAATAAAGTTTACATCCTTTCCAAAATGAGGAAGTTGTTTACATTTTTTTCAAATAAGTATGAACACGTTTTCGCACTTACTTTTGGTTATACTGGTGTCCTGTTTGATAAAAGATATACATAATAAATATATATATGCATATATATATATATATATATATATATATATATATATATATATATATATATATATATATATATATATATATATATATATATATGAAGGTCGTTCGCAGAGGACGTTATGCAAAAGAGAGTAATGGGGTATGGTATCATGTATGGTATAATATCAGAAGTCATTTTTGATAATTTTATAGAATGCTTTCGTTACAGTTACTAGATTTTTCCGCTAATTACATTTATTATGCAGATTATTATTAAGTTTAGTTCATTTAGTAGCCTATAAGCAGCTGTTGCGGTTTTCAAAAAGTCTAATTTTTTTTTGAGGTTTAAATAAGTTTTAAAAAGGTAAAAACCTAATTTTTCATTTGTTTTAAAAGACTATTTTAAATAGACTTCTTGGGGGCATTTAAAAAAAAATTCAAACTATGCTCTCCTCTGACCACATTTAAATAATTAGTTTTTAAAATTTATTTTTACAAATCCATCCTATTAACTATATTAGCTCCTACTTGTATAATTTGTAATGCCCCGTCGCAAAAAAGACCCACATAGATCTGAATAATTTCGAGTAGTATAACCCAGATGTACACATCAACTAATGTTTTTTAATAAACTACCTACGTTAAAAAAATGTTAGTAAAATTGCTTTGATTTTTGAAGAAGTAAGTAATGTAATTTACATTTTGCTTACTTATTAAGTAAAATAAGTATTTGAAAGAAAAACTTTACTTTTATTTTTAATAGTAAATCTTTTTCTTTTCAAATTACTTTTATGTAAGTTGCCTTTGCTAATTAGTTACTTTTACACATGTAAGTAATTTATTTTTATGATGTACTTTTATTTTACTTTTAAAAGTAAGTGTTACATTTTTCAAACATAACGTTTACATAACGTTATCTCAGAAAAGAACTTTTTTACATATAAAAAGTAAATTACTTTTCAATGTAAGTTTCGCGAATAAATAAAATTATTATATCAAAATTTTAATGAAATTTATAATCTAATTATAAATCTGTTATTATATTGATCTATTATGTATTGATTTTATATGAGGAAAACATTTTCTTTTCAAATATTTCAACAATAAAAAAATTTAAATGCTCTTAATAAAAAATAAGATTGAAAAGTATTAGAAATGTTAAAGTCAGAATTACAAGACAGCAAGACATCTGCTAGGTACTGAGTGATCATGATGATCTTGATGCTGACCTGTAGTATTTGGTTTTATATTATTGATTATTCTTATAATTGATTAATTAATTAGTATCGGCATCAGTATTGTCTTTTTTTTGTCTATCGGTATCGGCATCAGTCATAAATGTGCAATCAGTACATTACTACTAATAATCTAAAAATGATGTTAGTAAGTTTTTAGAGGCATAGGTACACTTCTGTAAATCTGTTATTCCTTTTCTCTTGTACGGTTCAGACTTTGTCACCTCACCTAAAGACAAAGCTGAATTGTTTGCTAAGAACTTTTCATCAATATCATCTCTTGATTCCACTAGTTGCGTTTTACCTGACATAGCCGTCAAACAGGTTGATCCCTTGCTTGACATTCGCATCACTTCAGCTTCTGTATCTAAAGTAATTTCCTGCTTAGACTCTTCAACAGCTTGTGGTCCTGACAACATTCCTGTTGTAGTCTTGCAGAGGTGTTCTCCGGAGCTTTCATCCATACTTTCTAAACTATTTAACAAGTGCTTATCAGAGTCTTGTTTTCCATCATGCTGGAAAGCAGCATCTGTTATCCCTATTTTCAAAAATTCCGGAGAGCGATCTGATTCATCTAACTACCGTCCCATTAGTCTTCTTCCTGTCATAAGCAAGGTTTTTGAATCTTTAATCAACAAACACTTAATCTCTCATCTTGAATCAAATAACTTACTTTCTGATCATCAATATGGATTTCGGTCTTCTCGTTCTACAGCTGATGTGCTAACAGTAATAACCGATAGATTTTACCGTGCATTAGATAGAGGTGGAGAGGTTAAGGCTATTGCACTTGACATTTCTAAAGCTTTTGATAAAGTTTGGCATGCTGGTCTACTCTATAAGCTTTCTTCTTATGGTATAGCTGGTAACGTCTTTAAGATTATTGAGTCCTTTCTTTCCAATCGTAGTATAAAAGTTGTCCTTGATGGACAACACTCTTCTTCACATCCTGTAACTTCAGGGATTCCTCAAGGTTCAATCCTTGGCCCTATACTCTTTTTAATTTACATTAACGATCTTCCAGATATTCTCACATCTAAGGTGGCATTATTCGCTGACGACACTACCATTTACTCTTGTCATGATAAGAAGCCTACACTCTCTGATTGCTTGGAGGGGGTATCTGAGCTTGAAAAGGATCTCACTTCTGCTACAGCATGGGGCTCACAGTGGCTGGTAAACTTTAATTCAGATAAAACTCAATTTTATTCGGCCAATCGTTATCGTAATAATTTAGATCTTCCTATATTTATGAATGGTAATGTACTAGATGAGTCATCTACCATTCATCTTCTAGGATTAACTCTTACTTCTGATCTTTCTTTTAAACCGTATATCAAATCCATTGCAAAATTAGCATCTGCTAAGGTTGCATCTCTTTATCGAGCTCGACACTTTCTTACTCCAGATTCTATTCTCTATCTCTATAAATCTCAAATCCGTCCCTGTATGGAAAACTGTTGCCACATCTGGGGCGGATCTTCTAATGATGCTCTTTCTCTTTTAGACAAGGTGCAAAAACGAATTGTAAACATAGTTGGACCTGCTCTGGCAGCCAATCTCCAACCTTTGTCACATCGTCGTAATGTTGCTTCTCTTTCTCTTTTCTACAAATACTATAATGGGCACTGCTCTAAAGAGCTAGTGTCCCTTGTGACATCTACTAAAATTCATTCTCGTGTTACTCGCCATTCAATTAAGTCTCATCCTTTTTCTGTGACTGTTCCTAAGTGCTTCAAAAACTCTTATTCTTCTAGTTTTTTTCCTCGAACATCAGTTCTTTGGAATTCGCTTTCTTCATCTTGCTTTCCTGATTCATATAATTTGCAATCTTTTAAGTCATCAGTCAATCGTTATCTTGCTCTACAGATTTAGTCTTTCCTCTTCCAGTAACTTCCAACTCTTATAGTGGTTGCTTGCAGCCTTGTTGGAAGTGAAGATGTTTAAAAAAAAAAAAAAAAAAAAAAAAAAAAAAAAAAACTTTAATAGATTGGTTGAAAGAATTGGAAAAGAGTTTGATCACTTTGTTGACTCTGATGTACTTTTGGTTCCGTGGTTAAAAATCTTATGCTCAAGTTGCCACCAAATCAGAGAAATCAGGGAATTTGAGAAAAGTTAGGGAAATTTAGATATGATCAGGGAAAATACGGAAAAAAAGATTTATTAAATTGTTAAATTCTATGAGACAGGTAAAAAAAAAAAACTTTGTTATTAATTTTGGTCTTGCGCATTGTTTACACATACTTTTAACAGAAAGTATCAGGAAATATCCTTTTTATTACTTTTCATTTGACAAAAGCCTGAATGATTCTTTTTAAAAATGTCAAATGAATCTAAATATTCGTTTTTGGAACAGCGATCTAAATTGTCTTGAATACAAATAATTTGACTGTTAGTTTTTGAGCTACCCCACTGCAAATAGTTTACTTGAAAGTATTACCACATCTTTGGCAACAATATAATTTAATTGCGTAAATCTGACAAAACTATACGGATGGCCCAATAGTAAACTGGTTACTTCTTGATTATTAAAAAAGATTTTCCCTCCGTCTGTTTTTATGTATTGAATGTGATTTAATCTAAATCAGCATTTAGAGTTTAAAAAAATTGGTGAATTAACTTTGAAAACTTCTTTTTTAAAGTATTATTAAAAAAGTAAGCGAATGTCGATAACTTAAATTTAAACTAAATCCAAAAAATTAGCACCTGATCTTACCCATATTTGTCAGTTAAATGGTGTACATTCTATTGACCCTATTCAAGTTATATATGCGCAAACGATTTATTCAGTAGCATAGTTCTTGATATTATTCTAATTTTAGCACTATTAAAGTAAATCCGTTTTTTGTTTTACCAGTATTGCATTTTGACAAAATCTAACTTATGTATTTTTTTTTTATTTTTTTTTGTAACTCTTAATTTTGTTACGCAATAAATATGTTAATAGATATAAACAATATCTGATTACTATAGCAATTGATGAAGTCGTTGGAACTTTGCATGAAAGCGTATGGTGAAAGTCACATGCTATATGTTCGATTGTGTCTCAACATTGGAATTCTCTATGAAGATGATCGACAATTCAATGAAGCATACGACTATTTTGTGAAGTGGGATAAAGCTACATCTGAGGTATATTTTGATTATATATATATATATATATATATATATATATATATATATATATATATATATATATATATATATATATATATATATGTATATATATATAATATAATGATAACGATGTAGTTGTTTCAATGATTATAGTAATGTAATGACTAATTTATATTTTTAAAAAATCAGGTGCTTGGCCCAAATCACCCGAAAACTATCAGAGCTAAAGAAACATTAGAGGAACCAACGTATGTTAGAATTAGAGAACAACGAGAAAGACAAGCAGCTGGAACAGCATGAACACTCAACGTTTGCTATAACATAACGCGTTTAATTTCTCGGTTGACTGATTAGTTTTGTACTTTTCAATTCTAGACTGCTGGCTACAGTTTTATTATTTCAATTTCATGACTGCTGGTAACAGAAATAACCGTTTTATATTTTCGGCTTATTAAGCTTCAAAGTTGCACATAACATATTACTTATAATTTTATTCAAGATAGCTCGTCAAAAAATTTCAATTATGATAACTTAAAAGGTTTATATATTTATAGCTTAACAAATAATAAAGTATATTTGTATATTTCTTTAGAATTAATATTTATAAGGTCTTTTACATAAAATTTTAATATCTAGTCTAGATTTTTTACGTAAAATTTGTGTTAGTTAAATAATACATAAGCTGTATAATACATACAAGCGTAATCAATAGGGTAATTAACAAATTTTTTGTCTGGAAATGAAGTTGTTATCTTTTTAAGTAAGTAACTTGTTGCGTTAATGCTCGTAAATTTTAGCATCCCCTCCATTTTTTATCGTAGTTCATAAAAAAATGTTTAGTGTAATATGAGATTTACCTCAATGGTTTTTATTACTCTTAAAAATCACATTTTTACTCTTTTTATATAATTCTTACTCTATATTTAAATTCATAAAATGTATTAGGTACCGACCTACCTTATATATAAAAATAAAAATAAGCCTAATTTTAAAAAGTAATACTTTTTTTTAATTTTATGTTAAATTTTGAAATCACGCAATTTTACATTTTAATATTTATACAAATTATTGTTCTTTAAAAGTTTGCATTGGAAGACTTAATCGTATGCAGTCTTTTTAAAATTGTACTGGAAGACCTCTTGAACGCATTCAACTTTGTTCCTCTTATGACAACTCAAAAGTTATAATTTCTGAACAACTGATGGAACCTCAGTAATTTGCACATTAACTTCCTTAGCAATGATTCCAATTGGTGTTGGGCATGGTAAGGTAGCTTGTCTACAGCAGCTATCCTCTTAAGCTCGTTGCATGTTAACTCGTATTCGCTAAATTAAGAAATTGTAAATAGTATTGTAAGAAACTAACAAATAAAAATTTATTGTTTAAAAAATAACTTTTAAAAACACAAATCATAAAAAAGCTTATTAAAATAATGACAAATTTTATATAAAATCAATGCTCGTAGTTTTAATAATACTGCCGTTCCTTTAATATAATTCAACATTAAAAAAATGCTTACATGCAACAAAAAAATGCAACATTAAAAAAAATGCAACATTAAAAAAATTTCTTAGAGCTAAAATAGATTCTGCAATACAGTATACGTATCTTGTGTTAAAACAAAAACAAACAAAAAATTGTTTTACCATGATCCATGTTTACTAATGCAAGGAATCGGTACCCATAAAAATGCAACTCTCTTTTCTAAAGTATTATTAAAAAATGGCTGCCTGAGTTCTTCGCTAAAAACTGCACCGAGTTTTGCTTTGAAATGATGACCTTTTGTGATGTGAAGCACGCCAGTGAAATGATCAATTTTCAAATGAACTTAAGGTAGGAGAGAGTTGCCTTAATTGGAACACTTATGAAATAAATATTTATTAACCAAAGATAGCTCAAATATGAAAATATTGATGATTTGATTAAAGCAAACAGACAACCCTGCTATACTTTTAATCATAATTTGACTTAATTGATTGCACTTGATTTGACTTAATTGATTGGAAAGAAAATTGTTTTTGCAAATATGTCATTTTGTTCCAATCAATGCGACTGGTTCCCTAAATTGGAACACTTTGATTCCTTAATCACAACAGGCTATTTTTTTAAAAAAACCCAGTAAAATCAACAAAAATTGATTAAAAATGGTTTTTTTATCTTTACAGTGAAAATTTAAACAGTTCATTCAAGATTTATAATAGGAGTAATATTACCCTGGCAAATTAAAATTCTGCAAACAAAAAATTATATAAAAGTCTCAACTTTTATGACGTTCTCTTAATTTATTGATTAAAAATCACTAAATAAAGTATTATTTTTAAGGTTTATGGTTGCTACTATGTATTTTTTAATTGCGCCTGAACTATTTAAACAACCCTTTGATTTTATTACTGATTAATTAAGGAAAACATAAGGAAAAAAGTTTCAATCAAGGAAACTTTGGACTATTTTGTTATATCACTGCAGTATCATGCTTTCAGCAACTTATAAAATAAGTTTATATTGTTATTTGCATTTTAAACCCCATCGCGTTATACATAAAAAACCGTATAGCCTATAGCAGTATAGTTTACCCAGGGCAATCAATATAGTGTCACCACAAAATTAGACCACCGAAAAAACATGACGCAAAAAAGCTTCAAATCAATGGTACACTTTTAGCATTTTTAAGGAATAACTTTTAAAATCTGTCAAAACGTAGAAGATAAAACATTTTACTATAAAAATGCAAAATATAGCCATACTTCATTTTTTGAAAAATAAATGCAAGTGTTCCAATTAAGGCGCGGCGCCAATTATGCAATGAAACCGTCGAATTTGACAACAGTTTGACAACAGTTCATGCAAAAGGTTCTTTGAAAAATGCAATACAACTTTTTTATTTTCTTTTATAAAAGTTATAAAAATTATTTATAATAATGGTATGACAATCTATAACAAAAACTAACTAAAAAAACTATCAAATATTAAAATAAAAAGTCATTCAAATAATATGTAAATAATATAAAATGTGTCATAGACAACTAGGAGTAGATTTTACTAAGACTTTCAACAAATCAACATAAAAATTATTTGAACTAACGAGGACTTGGTCTTTGTGATTTAAAACATCTATGACTCACAGTTTACAAGTGTAAAGTGTGAGTCATAGATGTGTATCCAGTTTTTGTTTCATGTAATAATAAGAATGAACTTTTCTTAAACTTTATATATATATATATATATATATATATATATATATATATATATATATATATATATATATATATATATATATATATATATGTATATATATATATATACATATATATATATATATATATATAATATATATATATATATATATGTATATATATATATATACATATATATATATATATATATATATATATATATATATATATATATATATATATATGTATATATATATATATATATATATATATATATATATATATATATATATATATATATATATATATATATATATATATATATATATATATATATATATATATATATATATATATGTATATATATATATACATATATATATATATATATATATATATATATATATATATATATATATATATATATATATATATATATATATATATATATATGTATATATATATATATACATATATATATATATATATATATATAGATATATATATATATATATATATATATATATATATATATATATATATATATATATATATATTTTAAAATTTTATGTCAAAACGCTATCCCCTTACTAAAAACCTAACTTAAATATTTTTCCATTAAATTTATTAAGTGCATAGAAAATGTTTAAACTTAAAATAAAGATACGAATAGAAAAGCATATCTTTATTGTATGGCGAGTGTATGAAATGCAACAATATTTTCAGCATCCAAAAATCCACCTTTTTGAAAATTGGTTACTGTAATCAAAAGATACATATATTAAAATACAGATATATTAGAGTTTAACTGTTTAAAAAACATGTTTTTAAAAAGCATAGCGCCTATGTTCCTATAAAGTTCTAAAAAATACGGCGACTATAAACGCTAATGCCTCACTGGAGAAAAGCAATCTAAAAAGTGTGGCACAGATTTTCAACACATTTATCGGTTCCGTAAAACGCGATTTCCGCATGCCTATTATTATATGTAGTATATATATATATATATATATATATATATATATATATATATATATATATATATATATATATATATATATATATATATATATATATATATATATATATATATATATATATATATATATATATATATATGTATATATATATATATATATATATATATATATATATATATATATATATATATATATATATATATATATATATATATATATATAAATTAGTAGAAAATCACTTAACAAAAAATTTTTTCATTTTACTCTGTGTTTCATCAACAAAGACTCATCAGAAATTTCGTCTCAGTAAGCGTAAATTAATTAAATGCGTTAATATATTGTAATGCGCTTATATATTGTAAAGTTTTATTAAATTGAACTTTTTGGTATTATTTGGACGCGCATGGACCATTAATTTCAAAACGCATCCGTGTTTTTATTATTTCTATTGCAACGTCTCACTACGCGTAAATATTTTTCCTATTTTAACTTTTTAAATATTTTATTACGAAATAAGGTTAGTTGTTCCTTATTAAAAAAAGATTTTATACAATTTTAAATTTTTTTCATTGTTTGGAGGGAGAATTTTAGGAATAAAAAAACATGTTTTGAATAAAATTTTGAATTGCTCATGATAAAAGTCAAATTTTTGCATTATACTTAAATACTATTAACTTATTATATTTAATCATTTAAAAAAGTCAAACTAAGCTGTTTATTTCATTCCTCAAAGATTAATGGATTGAATCATGTTACTACAGAGGTAGGGGTAAAAATTTCTCAAAAAACACAAAAAAACACAAATCTGTACCCTATATCACCAAAATTGTTGAAACTTGGCACAATGTTTATAGACATATGTTAGCAAAGATTGTAGTTTTTTTTTTTCATAAAATTCCTTACCGTTTATAATTTACAGCAATTTGAAGTTTCCTTGATTTTGGCTAAAAACTGAGGGATGAAAGTGCCGAAAATCATTCCGTTTACTTTCACCTTAATATGGTGCTTGTAGTGATGCCACAAATCTGAAACTTTGTGCCAAAAGAGTTTAAAACCTGTTAAATCCGAAAAATATAGTTTTTTATATGTCAAAACAAAGGAATGTAGCTTATTTTAAGATCCATAAAATACACTTTATAACGCCGAGAAAAAAGGGCATTGGCAATTAGGGTAGAGCGGGGTAATAAGATCAGCGGGACAATAGGATCTTTTTTAGCAGCGCCAAAACTAAATTTCTTTATGCTACTGTGGAAATAATAAATTACTAAGTTTTACATGATATATGTTTACTTAGTACGTAAGAGAGTAGTCTAAAACATTTATTGGACTAACAACTAATTTTTTACCATTATTAATTTGATTTCAATATCGATGTTTTTTACGGCAGTTTTTTATTTTGTTTAAAGTTTATGAAAAACTTTGCCAAAATCGGTGCTCCTCAGTTTTTAATTAAAAAGTCTATACCTAAGTGTTTGTTTTTAAATTTCTTGAAAGTAAAGCAGAATCTAATTTTAGTAAGTACTATTATAAAGTTATACGGCGGACCTGTACACGGCGATATAACTAGTAAGAAAGGATACTTAAGAA